TTTTTGGTTTGGCCATGTTTTTTGTTTATTGTAGTACGGAGTTAGACTGATGGCCTTAATCTTAGTTGTCTTGTGGTTATTGTTGTTGCTGTTTGACTTGCATCCCACTGGGATTTTTGCACACAGCGTTGGTGTACGGTGCTATTTCAGGAATATTTAACTGTTTTTTTCCTGGATTTTCTGTTTGCACAGTCACACAGTCACTTTAAGATGTTTTCTTGTTCGTGTTTTTATTTTTTGTTTGTTGCGGTTGCACCCGAGTCAAGAGCCGAATGGCTCACAGGGCTATACCAAATAAATGAAACTATGATACAATGAATCACAGGCAGAGCCAGTGGGGTTTATTAGTAATACATCGGCATTTTGCGACCCCCACTGCCACTGTGTAGCATATTATTACGTGCCAGGGACTCTATGAGATTATAGGACAAGAGTCTGAGTCCATAATTGGCAAAGCAGTTATAAGTGACTCACAGAATTGTGCGCAGTTGCGTACACAGGACACGACTTCCCTGAAGGCATCAACACCTCCAGCGAGAGGCGATGCCGATCACACAACGGGGTTCGAATTCAAACCCTCGATCGATGGCTGTGCCATCGCCGCACACGCGTCCAATAAAAAAGCAAGGGACAAGTCCTTTACTTACTAACAACTCCTCTCTAACTAACAACTCCTTACTTACTAACAACTCCTCTCTAACTAACAACTCCTTACTTACTAACAACTCCTATCTAACTAACAACTCCTTACTTACTAACAACTCCTCTCTAACTAACAAGTCCTTACTTACTAACAACTCCTCTCTAACTAACAACTCCTTACTAACTAACAACTCCTCTCTAACTAACAACTCCTTACTTACTAACAACTCCTCTCTAACTAACAACTCCTTACTTACTAACAACTCCTCTCTAACTAACAACTCCTTACTTACTAACAACTCCTCTCTAACTAACAACTCCTTACTTACTAACAACTCCTCTCTAACTAACAAGTCCTTACTTACTAACAACTCCTCTCTAACTAACAACTCCTTACTAACTAACAACTCCTCTCTAACTAACAACTCCTTACTTACTAACAACTCCTCTCTAACTAACAACTCCTTACTTACTAACAACTCCTTACTTACTAACAACTCCTTACTTACTAACAACTCCTCTCTAACTAACAACTCCTTACTCACAAACAACTCCTCTCTAACTAACAACTCCTTACTCACAAACAACTCCTCTCTAACTAACAACTCCTTACTTACTAACAACTCCTCTCTAACTAACAAGTCCTTACTTACTAACAACTCCTTACTTACTAACAACTCCTCTCTAACTAACAACTCCTTACTTACTAACAACTCCTCTCTAACTAACAACTCCTTACTTACTAACAACTCCTCTCTAACTAACAACTCCTTACTTACTAACAACTCCTCTCTAACTAACAACTCCTTACTTACTAACAACTCCTCTCTAACTAACCAGTCCTTACTTACTAACAACTCCTCTCTAACTAACAACTCCTTACTAACTAACAACTCCTCTCTAACTAACAACTCCTTACTTACTAACAACTCCTCTCTAACTAACAACTCCTTACTTACTAACAACTCCTTACTTACTAACAACTCCTTACTTACTAACAACTCCTTACTAACTAACAACTCCCTACTTACTAACAACTCCTCTCTAACTAACAACTCCTTACTTACTAACAACTCCTTACTTACTAACAACTCCTTACTTACTAACAACTCCTTACTTACTAACAACTCCCTACTTACTAACAACTCCTCTATCATTTTTCATTGCTGGAGGGGTTGCCCCCCCTACCTGAAAATTCTGGCTCCGCCATTGGTGGTGATGATGGTGATAATGACGTTGCTGCTGATGATGGTGATAATGATGGTGATAATGATGATGTTGCTGCTGCAGATGGTGATAATGATGGTGATAATGATGATGTTGCTGCTGCTGCTGATAATGATGGCGATAATAATGACGTTGCTGCTGCTGATGGTGATGATGATGATGGTGATAATGATGTTGCTGCTGCTGCTGATGCTGCTCCTGATGCTGCTGCTGATGATCATGGTTGCATTCTGGTGCACGCCAGCAACCTTCCCCTCACCCCTTCCCCTCCGCCCCCGTCCCCCAGTCCCCCATGCCAATGGATACAGATGCTCTCAGGGTCCCGGCTAATGCAGACAGGGCCCCCGATGGCACTGTCAGTGCCTTCAACAATAGCCACTCGCCGCAGTATTAATCGAGCCAATATCCCGACCCGCGGGCCATTTGCACACAAAGGCAAAGACAAATGTCCCCCCGCCCCCGCCCGTGCAGCCTACACGGGCCGCTGGGGGAAAGTGCTGCTCGCCGGCTTTGTAGCGCAGTGCGCGCTAATCACTGTGCCACCGCTCCCTCCCCCTACAGACACCCCACAAATGCTCATCACACACACACACACATACCAATTAGACACTCACACAGCCACGCACACGCATCACAAACACACATTCACATGAAGCCACACGCGCGCAAATTACACCCACACACAGCCATCGTCACAAACACACACACAAAACAAGACAAGACAAAGATCCCCCGTATAGTCTTAACAGACTGTTGGGGCAAGTGCTGTTCGCGAGCACCTATGAAGGCCGGCACGGCACACGAGGGGGTGATATGGCCAGAACCACGCACGGCCGCCTTTGTCTCCACAGTGGCGATGTTTACTACGCACCGCACCAGGTACTCATTGCTAAGGTTGAGTCAACCTAGCAGAAGCCCAGGTCCGGTTCACAAAATCGTCATTGGTGTTGGAATCAAACTCAGGTCGCCAGGTTCGTAGCGCAGCAGCACGCTAACCGCTAGACACTGCCGCTCCCATCAAAATCACAAACACATCCCACACACACATTACACCCACACACAATCACCATTACACACATACCCACTTTAACCCCCCCCCCCCCACACAAACACTAATCCCACACACGTACACACATTTTACACACACACACATAGATACATCATTCGCGGGAGATGAGCACAGCTGTGGAGGCACCGTTAGATGGGCTCACAAATGACCCCCACGGGAGACTGGACACGTGGAAGCAACGAAGACCCCTCCCTTCCCACCCCCCTCAGACCTCCCCCTCCTCCTCCCCCCTCCCCTTACCCCCTCCCACTCTCCCCGCCGCACTCGCCTATCTCATACCACACACACACAGACTCGCAGACGCACAGACGCACCCGGATAATCGTTAGCACTCGCACACTCATAGGGTCGCCATCGATGGACTCACGCACTCATAGACCACGTAAGGACTGACAAACTCATAGACACACTCATAGCGTCATCGATTAACTCACGCACTCATAGTCCACGGAAGGACTGGCAAACTCATAGACACACTCGTAGCGTCATCGATTAACTCACGCACTCATAGTCCACGGAAGGACTGGCAAACTCATAGACACACTCGTAGCGTCATCGATTAACTCACGCACTCATAGACCACGGAAGGACTGGCAAACTCATAGACACACTCATAGCGTCATCGATTAACTCACGCACTCATAGTCCACGGAAGGACTGGCAAACTCATAGACACACTCGTAGCGTCATCGATTAACTCACGCACTCATAGTCCACGGAAGGACTGAAAAACTCATAGACACACTCATAGCTTCATCGATTAACTCACGCACTCATAGTCCACGGAAGGACTGGCAAACTCATAGACACACTCGTAGCGTCATCGATTAACTCACGCACTCATAGTCCACGGAAGGACTGGCAAACTCATAGACACACTCGTAGCGTCATCGATTAACTCACGCACTCATAGACCACGGAAGGACTGGCAAACTCATAGACACACTCGTAGCGTCATCGATTAACTCACGCACTCATAGACCACGGAAGGACTGACAAACTCATAGACACACTCATAGCGTCATCGATTAACTCACGCACTCATAGACCACGGAAGGACTGACAAACTCATAGACACACTCGTAGCGTCATCGATTAACTCACGCACTCATAGTCCACGGAAGGACTGACAAACTCATAGACACACGGACAACACTCAAACACTCATTGGCATGCGGATACACGCACACATACTTAATCAGCGATGGACTCAGCAACAACCATCGTTCACGACTAAGTAGCGGTGACGTCGCCACGGCGCTTGTGCCAGGCCAGGTGCACCTTGAGACCACGTGAAGATTCAAAGGCTCGCTGCTGGCAGGAGGTCACGTTACAGACCCAGGTGCCATGGTTTGACTGACTGAGATGACAGGCAGATGCACCGCCTGTGCTCCCCACTGTGCTAACTTTCTGCGTTTAACCGCCCGACCCTCCGCTCGTTGTTGTGAGCCTTTGGATTTCACTCGATTGATGCTTCTTTAAAGGGCTTCATGTATCACAAACATCGAGAAGGGACGGCGTAACTGTGGCCGAGAAAACCCGGAGATTCATTTGAAGCAATATACCAGGTAGCCTCCACACGGCGTTATGCAGCCAATGAAAAGATAATGCCACTCGACTGATTCGGAGTTAGACATCTGCTGCCAAACTGGAGCTGGTCATAGGCTTACTGCTCAGGTATGGAGACGTCTCCACTCTCTCCACAACTATCCCACAACTCATAGGGAGTTAAGGGGGTGCATCATTTGATGAGGCTGATGGTACGGCCCCACCGCTTATTGGCGCCCTCCAGATGCGGCAGTGACATCTCCAACTACGTTTCCAGAACGGGCAGCAATTGCCAGATCATCAGCACATACGTCGATGGACTCACACACACAGACAGAGATCGCCCGCATAGCCTTAACAGACTTTTGGGGCAAGAGCTGCTAGCGAGCAGCACCTATGAAGACCAGCACGGCATACGACAGGATGGGTGGGCAACACCACGCCTGGCCGCCTTTGTCTCCCGAGGTATTCATAAAAAAAATTGGTCAAATGTCACACACACACACGCACGCACCTGTTCGAAGAACTGATCCATGAAGTGGTCCCGGTCAACGATGACGGCCACCTCCTCGTCATCGTCGCTGTCCTTCCCCTGCACACGCGAACAAACAAACACATGTTACGTGCGCTGTGTGTGTGTGTACGTTGAACTTCCTTCGCACCTTTCGTAGGCACCCGCGCTACGTACGGAGGTGAGGGGGAGGACGACCAAAGTGAACGACGGAAAAAGGTTACGAGGAATTGAGTTTTCAATCGACGTTTCTGCGGAAACAAGTACGCGCGTAAAGGCAGCAAACGAGCGGAAGGGAAAAAAAACCGCAGCGAACGCACGAGCGATCGCACCCTCGCGATCGTCACAGAGCGCACGGGGCGTGGCCGCAGCGCCCCCGCAATAGACAACGTGCGCACAGAGGTCACCTGCCGGTAGACACGTGCGCACGCAGAGGTCGCAAAAAAAAATCAACCAAGATAAAGATCCCCCGCATTGCCTTAACGGACTGTTGGGGCACGTGCTGTTAAGCGAGCACCCATGAAGGCCGGCACGGCACACGAGGGGGTGGGTGGCCGGCACCACGCACGGCCGCCTTTGTATCCCCAGTGGCGATGTTTACACACCGCACCAGGTACTCATTTGAGGCTGAGTTGAACCTAGGGGAGGCTCAGGATCGGTTCAGATAATCGTCACCGGTGTTGGCCGTGAGCGGGAATCGAACCCGGGTCACCAGGTTCATAGCGCAGCGCGCTAACCGCTACACTACCGCTCCGCTACACCTGCCGATAGACAGATGCGCGCGGAGGTCACGTGCCGATAGACACGTGCGCACAGAGGTCACGTGCCACACGCGTCACTGAGGCCGTGACGTCGTCTGCGATTGGCTGAAAACCACAGCAGCGTCTGTGAACCTCGTGCAGTTGGTAATAATACTACTATAATTATTATTGATTTGACCATTGCGCTATTTTACCCACGAATGCCCCACTGAGTATCCAGACTCGTTTTGCAGGGGGCTTCTGCCGCAGTCGATTGGACATACGTGAAAAAGAGCTTCATAAGGATAATCGGATTCCTCCTCCAGTATAAATGAATATTCAGATTGTCGCAGCATAGTTGTGGGGTCGCGATTTGGCGTGGGGTGGGGGGGGGCGCGTTGTTCCCAGTAAACATGGAACGTGTGGCCCAACGTTGGGCCACGCGCCAACGGTGAGCCCAACAGGGGGTTGCTCTGTGCAATCCCAATTGAGTAATTTGCAGGTAACTCTTGCAGCGGTGGGATCTTTGACCGACACCGGTGACATCGCGCATGCGCGTGCGTGTGTGTGCGTGTGTCTTAGCTCCCTCGACCGCGTGCGGAAAGACGAACTTGACGATGAAAAGTAGTCACGTAGCGACGTGGCCTACGTGGGCCAGGTCGCGCGTAACTACCCAGGTGAGAGGGACGAGGATGAATCGAATTTCCATTTTCCATGGACATCGGTCTGCCAGTTAGAGGGGGTGACGATTCGCGTGGCGTCGAAGGGAAGACCTCTGGGCAGATGGTGGAGGAGACTGTCAGGGCAGAGTAATGGATCCCTGTGAGTCTTTGGGGGTATTTCTCTCTTCGTCTATGGGCCTCTGTGTGAGTCTATAGGTTTCTCTGTGAGTTTATGAACAGGTGGTGAGATTCTGCTGGGGCAGATGTATGGGCCTCTGTTGTGAGTCTGTGAGTCTCTGGGTGAGCCTGCGGGTCTCTGTGTGAGTCTATGAACAGATGGTGAGAGATGGTGAGATTCTGCTGGGGCAGATGTATGGGCCTCTGTTGTGAGTCTGTGAGACCCTGGGTGAACCTACGGGTCTCTGTGTGAGTCTAAGGCCAAGTAGTTGGTGATGGAGGCTGTCAGGTCAGAATCTTGGGAAGTCGCCGCGCGTCTCCTGTGCAGCAGCTGCGGGATCTGGCGGAGGGCAGAACGCGTTGGCACGGTGGTGGTGGCAGCAGTGATGGTGGGGGTGGTGGCAGTGATGGTTGGTGGTGGTGGCGGTGATGGTAGCGGTGGTGGTGGCGGCTTTGCTGGTAATGGTGGCGGTGGAATCAACAACGGCTTTGGCCACGATGATGATGCCGCGATATCGATAAAATTGTGTACGTTGAACTTCTTTCGCACCGTACGTAGCCAACCGTGCTAATCGTAGGTGCGGGGAAGGACAAAAAAAAAAACATGGCATGCAAATGAGATTGCTCATCTGACAATTTGGCCGAATGAGCCACACACACAAACAGCTGTGCACGCGTAATACACAAAATAAAATGCAAAACGAACTTTTTCGATTATTTATCAGAATCGCCAGGACGAGTCGTCACGATTCATCCAGCCAGTGTAGCTGTGGTGCGTATCTTGTTACACGCCCGATCATTCTCGAGTAACGCGTTACTTGCAGTAACATTGCATAACATTGCATAACGCGAGGGGAGGGGTCTAAGGCGGGGTGGGGTAGGAGGGAGGGAGGGAGGGGTGGGGGGATAGAGGGGTGGGGGGGATAGAGGGGAGGGGCTGACCCCCTCCCGACACCCCGCCCCCCAGCAGTCTCTGTGCGTGCTGTCCAATTTCGCAGTGTAATTACGCGTGAGTGTGATCGTGTAATTCCTGACACTATACTTGCATGTGTGTGTGCGCGCGCGCGTGTGTGTGTGCCTGTACTTAACTTGTTACACGCTTGTTTATGTACGTGTTTGTGTGTGGGGAGACAAAGGCGGCCGGGCGTGGTTTCGCTCACACCCCACCTCCACCCCTCCTCCACAGTGCGTCATGTTGACCTGGATAGGTGCTCGCTAACAGCACTTGCCCCCAAAACCTTTGTTGTTGCGTCTGTTGGGGTGAAGAGCGATGGCGCAGTGGTTAGCGCGATGGGCTATGAACCTGCCGTCCCTGAGTTCGATTCCCACCCCCAGACTAAAGAGTTAGTAGCGAGTGAAATCTGAACGGGCGCTATGTCTCCCTTAAGTCGACTCAGGACTTAGTTTTTTTTTTAACGAGAGCCTGGCGCTGCGTATCAGCTTCAACACTGGGGAGACAAAGGCGGCCACGCGTGGTTGTGGCCAGTGCTGGGTTTATTTGGTGCTCGCTAAGCAGGTCATGAGGATGACAGAAAGGGGATTGCTATTTTGTTTTTTGTGTGTTAAATTGCTATGTGTGTGTTACATTGGTCTGTGTGTTTGTGTGTTAAATTGGTCTGTGTGTGTGTTACATTGGTCTGTATGTGTTAAATTGTTATGTGTGTGTTACATTGGTCTGTGTGTTTGTGTGTTAAATTGGTCTGTGTGTGTGTTACATTGGTCTGTGTGTGTTAAATTGGTCTGTGTGTGTTACATTGGTGTGTGTGTGTTAAATTGGTCTGTGTGTGTGTTACATTGCTCTGTGTGTTTGTTACATTGGTCTGTGTTTGTGTTACATTGGTCTGTGTGTTTGTGTGTTAAATTGGTCTGTGTGTGTGTTACATTGGTCTGTGTGTGTTAAATTGGTCTGTGTGTGTGTTACATTGGTGTGTGTGTGTGTTAAATTGGTCTGTGTGTGTGTTACATTGGTGTGTGTGTGTTAAATTGGTCTGTGTGTGTGTTACATTGGTGTGTGTGTTAAATTGGTCTGTGTGTGTGTTACATTGCTCTGTGTGTTTGTTACATTGGTCTGTGTTTGTGTTACATTGGTCTGTGTGTGTGTTACATTGGTCTGTGTGCGTGTTACATTGGTCTCTGTGTGTGTTAAATTGGTCTGTGTGTTACATTGCTCTGTGTGTGTTACATTGGTCTGTGTGTGTGTTACATTGGTCTGTGTGTGTTACATTGGTCTCTATGTGTGTGTGTGTTAAATTGGTATGTGTGTTTGTGTGTTACATTGGTCTGTGTGTGTGTGTTAAATTGGTCTGTGTGTGTGTTAAATTGGTATGTGTGTTTGTGTGTTACATTGGTCTGTGTGTGTGTGTTAAATTGGTCTCTATGTCTGTGTGTGTGTGAAATTGGTATGTGTGTTTGTGTGTTGCATTGGTCTGTGTGTGTGTGTTAAATTGGTCTATATATCTGTGTGTGAAATTCCATGTGGGGATCTCGGTCGTGGCGTGGTTAGCGCACTGCGCTACGAGCTTGGAGACCCGAGTTTGATTCTGCACTCACGACCATTACGAGCAGTGGCGAATATTTTGAACCGCTCCTGGGCCTCCCCTAGGTCGACTCGGCCTTAACATCAGTAGCTGGTTGCCATGTGAGAATATCAGCATCGGAGAGACAAAGGCGGCCGGGCGTGGTCCTCCTGGCCACACCACCCCCTCGAAGTGCAGGGTTGGTGCTCGCTAACAGCACTTGCCCAACATTCTGTTAAAGGCTATACGGGGGGATATTTGTATTTCGCCATTGTGTGAAATTCCCTGCCAATTAATTATAGAATTGTTTTCCAAAACCACGTTTATGGAAAGCACCACATACATTTATACATCGATAAACAAAGACAAAGCCCTCCCGTAGAGCCTTTAACAGATTGTTGGGGCAAGTGCTGTTAGCGAGTAGCACCTATGAAGGCCGGCACCGCATACAAGAGGGTGGGTGGCCAGCACCACGCCCGTCCGCCTTTGTCTCCTCAGTGGCGATGTTTACACATCGCACCAGGTACTCATTTGAGGCTGAGTCGATCGAGGGGAGGCTCAAGACCGGTTCAGATAATCATCACCGGTGTTGGCCGTGAGCCGGGTTCGTAGCGCAGCGCGCTTGGCACAACACAACTGTTCCCCACACACACATACATAGAGACACACACTGACACACATAGATATCACACACAGCATCCGGAACAATAACCTTCACAGACAACACACACATCACACCACAGCACACACATAGCGCACACATAGCACACACATAGCGCACACACGGACAGTACACAAACCACACCAAACACGCGGTGATACCGCAACACCCCCCCCACCTCTCCCCCCCGCCACCACCCCTCACCCCCGCCCCCACCCCTCACCCCCGCCCCCCCCCCCGCCCACCGCACCCACCCCTCACCCCCACCCTCCCCCCCGCACCCACCCCGCGCCCCCGCCCCCCCCCGCCCCCCTCAGCCATGTTTGATGCGGCGCGAGCCCGCACCCCGCAACAGCCACGGGGAGAGATGGTGGTGCTGATGGTGGTGATGATGGTGATGGTGGTGCTGATGGTGGTGATGATGGTGATGGTGGTGCTGATGGTGGTGCTGATGGTGGTGCTGATGGTGGTGCTGATGGTGCTGATAGTGGTCCTGATGGTGGTGCTGATGGTGGTCCTGATGGTGGTCCTGATGGTGGTCCTGATGGTGGTGACGGTGGTGCTGATGATGATGGTGCTGATGGTGGTCCTGATGCTGGTGGTGATGATGGTGCTGATTGTGGTGCTGATGATGATTGTGGTGAGGATGGTGATGGTGTTGATGACGATGGTGATGCTGATGGTGGTGCTGTTGGTGCTGATGATGATGGTGCTGATGATGATGATGATGGTGCTGCTGATGATGATGGTGCTGATGATGATGCTGATGATGATGGTGCTGATGGTGATGGTGATGATGGTGGTGGTGATGATGGTGGTGATGGTGCTTGTGATGATGATGGTGGTGATAATGACGGTGGTGGTGATGCTGATGGTGGTGCTGACGATGGTAGTGCTGATGACGATAAGATTGCTAATAATGACAGTTATGGTGCTGATAATGATGGTGCTGATAATGATGGTGGTGATGATGCTGAGGATGGTGCTATTAGTAAGCCCATAGTGATGGTAACGTTGGTGGTGAGTTCGATTCCTGCTCACGGCCACCAACATCGGTGACAATTATCTGAACCGGTCCTGGGCCTCCCCTAGGTCGACTCAGCCTTTAATGAATACCTGATGCGGTGTGTAAACATCGCCACTGGCGAGACAAAGGCGGCCGCGCGTGGTGCTGGCAACCCACCCCCTCGTGTGTCCTCTCGGCCTGCATAGGTGCTCGCTAACAGCACTTGCCCCAACTGTCTCTTAAGGCTATGCGGGGGAGCTTTATCTCTGTGAATACGCCTGTGTTTCTAAGTCTGCGTGTTTGTCTATACGTAGGTCCCTGTACACATCTCTACGCGTACTCCTGTGCTTAAATCTGTCCCAGTGTGCCCCGTGAATGCGCTGTCCGGTACCACGAGGACCGATCGACCGCTCCCCCTCCACTTATCCCTCCCCCTCACCGCCATCGCAATCTCACTCCCATCCCTCTCTCACTCCCACTCCCTATCGCGCTCCTCCCTCTCTCACTCCCACCCCCTATCGCTCTCCTCCCTCTCTCACACTCCCATCGCTTCGCACCTGCTCCGCAAGTCAACGTCATTGGGAGTGATTTGCTGCTCAAATGAGCATTGAGGCATTGGTGTAAATGCCACATCGCTGATGCGCGACAGAGTCTGTGCATAGCGTAAACAACTGCTGACTCCACACACACACAGAAAGGGGTACTCGTTTTATCGACGCCAGAGGGGATGATGGGCTGAGTCAACCCCAGGAGTTGAACTTGTAACTTTCCGATTGGGAGTCGCTCGCTCGACCGCTGAGCCACCGGTCCGAGAGAAGTGTTCCACGTTGCGGTTAACAGCAATGGCAGTGTGGTTGGCTTTGTGTGCGCGAGTGTGCGCGCGCGGTTATATCGATAATCGCATACAAAAAACCGGTAGAAAAACAACAACTTGCCATTACCGGTTTTGCGACACTTCTAGACATTGTATGCATGTCGACCGGGCAGGTCGCGTGCCGTTGGGGGTATAGTGTGGGTGCTGCTACTCCAGCACCCACACTTTACACAGACGTCTGGGCTTGCCAGTAGCTGTGCCTGAGCTGGGGAGACCGCGGCACCACGCGGGAGCAGCAGTCGCGTGAGCGAGCAATTGCAGGTGCTGCGCCTTTACCTGTTTTTGCTGTTGTTGCACAGGCTAAGCCGACCTAGGGGGGGACCCGGGACCGGTTCAGATATTCGTCAACGACTTTGGGCGTTAGCGGGATTCGAACACGTCCAGTGGCTAGGTTCGGAGCCCGCAGTGCAGCCCTAACCACTGCGCCACCGCTCTCCACAACACACGCAGACACACACACAGACACTGCTACGTACGCAAATAAATACATGTATACGTAGAGTACATGCACACGCAGACACAATGGCAATGGTCACACACGTGTATTCACACGTACACAAAGACACAATACCAAGATCACCCGTATAGCCTTCAACATGCTGTTGGGGGCAAGTGCTGTCAGCGAGCCCCTATTAAGGCCGGTATGGTACACGAGGGGCTAAAGTGGCCAGCACCACGTCCGGCCATCTCTGTCTGCCGAGTGGCGATGCTTACACGTCGCACCCGGATACTCATTTGAGGCTGAATCGACCTAGGGGAGGCCCAGGACCGGCTCAGACAATCGTCACTACCCGTGTTGGTGGCCGTGAGCGGGAGTCGAACCCAGGTGGCTGGTTTCGTAGCTTAGCGCGCTAACCGCTGCACCACCGCTCCCTACACGCACATAGACACGCGCGAATACAAATATATACACACACACACAAAGGCACGCACACGCGGACACACACGAGCGTGGTGGACACACCACACAGAAGCGCCCGTATACAAAGATCACCCAGAAAGGCAACACCGACTCTGGGGTCAAGAGCTGTCAGCGAGCGCCTATGAATTTCTTCTGGCACTGTGCAGCGATGCAGGGATGTTGTGGCCAGCACCACCACACCCGGCTGAGTTGTCTCACGCCACAATCAGGTATTCATTTAAGGCTGAATCTAGTTCAGATGTTCGACGTGAGTGGGAATTGAACACGGGGTTTCCAAGTTCGTAGGCGCATTGCGCTAACCACTTCGGCTATCGCTCTCCAAACACACACACACAAACCCGGAGACACACAAACACATATAAAGATCCCCTGTGTAGCTTTTAACGGGATATTGCGGCAAGTGCTGTTAGCGAGCACCTATTAAGGTCGGCACGACGCACGAGGGGGTGAGTGGCCAGCATCACGCCCGGCCGTCTTTATCTCCCCAGCGCTGATTTTTGTTTGTTATACACCGCACCCACGTACTCATTTAAGGCCGTAGAGACCTATGGGAGGCCCAGGACATGTGCTCATTAGCACTCGCCACTGACAATAGCCGTGAGCGGGAATCGAACTCTGACCTCTGGGTTCGTAGCTGCACTACCGACTTCCCCATTTGGGCTCAAAGACAAAGATCCCCCGTCTAGTCTTAACAGACTGTAGGAGCAAGTGTTGTTCGCGAGCACCTATGAAGGCCGGCACGCCACAAGAAGCGGTGGGAGGCCAGCACCACGCCCGGCCGCTTTTGTCTCCCGAGTGGCGATGTTTGCACATCACAACCAGGTACTGATTTGAGGCCGAGTCGACCTAGCGGAGCCCCAGGACCGGTTCAGATAATCGCCACTGGTGTTGGCCGTGAGCGGCAATCAAACTCGGATCTCTGGGTTTGTAGCTGCACTGCCGCTTCCCCATTTGGGCTAGCACACACACGTACAAAACACGGACAGACACAAACACGCACAGAGACATTGGCATGGATATACACACAAAGACATAAGAGACACAAATACAGACACGCATATAACACACACACACAAAGACACAGAGGCACACACATGCACACTTACGCGCACAGACAAATAGACACACGCACACACATGACAGTCACACATGACAGTCACACGCACAGAGACAGATGCAGACACACACCATAAACTCATACAATGAGACATTTGAGCGCACGGACACTCACACACAAGACACAAATGCAAGCACACACGGACAGACACGCGCACACACTCACACCGTGACACACAAACCCAGGAACAACAGGAAGCGCGGAGTGAGACTGGAGGCTTTTGCGGATTTCAGTCTCTCGCCCGTGCCGAGCAGAAACAGCTGGGCTCCTCCAGCCCCTCCCCCCACCCCCCTTCCCCCCACCCCCCTCAACCCTCTCTACAACCCCCTCCTTCCATACACCCCCTCCCCTCGCTACCGTAGCCGGGTTATGCAGAGGCGGTTGCGATAGTGATGGTGGTCATGGTGGTGGTGATGATGATGGTTGGTTGGTGCTGATGGTGGTGTTGGTGATGACGGTTGGGTTGGTGGACGATTGGTGATGTGATGATGGTGGTTGGTCGGTCGGTGATGAAGATGGTTCGTGATTCTGAAGACGGTTGGTTGGTGATGATAACGGTTAGTGATAATGATGATGATAGTTGGTTGCTTCTGACGATGATGGTGGTGGCGGCACTGGCACAAATGAGGCTACCGCATCGCGCAGACCACACAGAGAGTGAGACGCGCACACACACACACAGACAGAGACAACAGGAGCAGCAGCAGGAGGAGGAGCAATGATGCTGTCGCTCACCGCCTTCAGATCCTGCATTCGGTCCTTCATGATGCCGGCAGGCGCAGCGGGTGTCTGGCTCTCTGCGCCTCTCTCTCTCCGTGATCTCTGCCACTACCGCCACTACCGCCAATGCCGCCGCCGCTGTCGTAGAAGGAGAGACGAACCCGGGGCGACGAACGGTGGGAGAGAGGGAGAGAGCAAGAGAGAGAGGAGGAGGAGGAGAGATGGGGGAGGGAGAGACAGAGAGAGGAGGGAGGGAAGGAGAGAGAGAGAGAGAGGGGTGGGTGGGGGAGAGAGAGGGTGAGCTGGAGAGAGGGCGGAGAGAGAAAAGAGAGATAAATGGGGGAGAGAGGGTTGAGGATAGGGAGAGATATAGCTTGAGAGAGGAGAGATAGAGAAATCGAGAGGGGGAGATAGGAGACGCGGGCAGACAAGAGATAAATGGACAGGAGCTAGAGGAGGTGGAGTGAGACGGGGAGAGAAAGAGAGAGAGCGAAGAGAGCTGGAGAGAGAAGAAGAGAGGGAGAGATATAGGGAGAGTGAGAGGGGGAGAGAGAGAACGGACACGAAGGGGCGTGACGATGCCAGTGCTGCTGCTGCGCTCCGGGAATCGATCGTTGCTCGGAATGAACACGCACGCGCAGGAGAGGGAGGGGAGAGCGGCAGAGAACGTGGAGAGGGGGGGGGTTTGAGAGCGTGGAGAGGGGGGGGGGCGTGGAGAGAGCGCAGAGAGAGAGAGGGAGAGAAAGGGGGGAGAGAGTGGAGCGAGCGTGAGTGCGTTGGAGATGGATGGGAGAGAGAGCGAGCGGGGAGGGGAGAGCGAGGAGGGAGAGGGATGAAGGGAGCGTGGAGAGAGAGGGGAGAGCGGCGCAGAGGGAGAGAGCGAGGAGTGGGGAGAGCGAGGGTATGGACGTGAATACGAACACGGGCACGAGTCGGCGAGAATGGATGCCACATAACGCATGCATGAATGTGTCTGGGAGGGTGGGGGGTGATGGGGGGGGGGTATTTCATTTGGGGGGGTGGGGGGCACGGGTGTGGGGGGGGGGCACGGGTGTGGGGGGGGGCGTTGGGGGGTGAGTTACAATGGGGATTCTTAACCGAAATCTCGGCTTTAAAAAAAATGCGTCAAAAAAATTGACATCCGTCCAGAGCCACGAGCTGACAATCGCTCGAGGGGACGGGGGTGGGTGTGTACGTGTCTGTGTACGTGTGTGTGTGTACGCATGTGTACGTGTGTGTGTACGTGTCTGTGTACGTGTGTGTGTGCGTACGTGTGTGTGTGTACGTGTGTGTGTGTGTGTACGTGTGTGTGTGTGTGTACGTGTGTGTACGTGTGTGTGTGTGTACGTGTGTGTGTGCGTACGTGTGTGTGTGTGTGTGTACGTGTGGGTGTGTGCGTACGTGTGTACGTGTGTGTGTGCGTACGCGTGTGTACGTGTGTGTGTGTTCGTGTGTGCGTGTGTACGTGTGTGTGTGCATACGTGTGTGTGTGTGTACGTGTGTGTGTACGCGCGTGTATTCGTGTACATGTGTGTGTACACGTGTGTGTCCGCGTGTGTACATTATGTATGGGTGTGCACGTGTGTGCATGCACGTGTTCGAGTGCACGTGTCCACGAGTGTATGTTGAACTTCTTTCGCACCGTACGTAACCAACCGTGCTAATCGGAAGTGGCATGTATGTGCACGTGTGTGTGAATTACGTATGTGCTTGTCACGGATGCATTGGTTGTGTACTTGCCATTGTGGATGTGTGTAGTGGGGAGCGGTAGTGTAGTGGTTAGCGCATTGCACCACAAACTTGGCGACCCGGGTTAGATTCCCGCTCACGGCCAACACCAGTGACGATTATCTGACTCGGTCCTGGGCCTCCCCTAGGTCGACTCAGCCTCAAATGACTATCTGGTGCAGTGTGTAAACATCGCCACTGGGGAGACAAAGGCGGCGGGGCGTGGTGCTGACCACCCACCGCCTCGTGCGCCGTGCCGGTCTTCATAGGTGCTCGCTAACAGCACTTGCCCCAACAGTCTGTTAAGGCTACACGGGGGAACTTTGTCTTCTTTGCATCCCTGTGTGTGTACGTGTCTATCCACGCGCGCGCGCGGGAGAGTATCGTGTGTGCATAATAAAACGGGAGGAGCGGTGGGGCAGTGGTTAGCGCGATGCGCTCGGGGTCCGGCGTCCCGAGTTCGATTCCCGCTCACGGCCAACATCGGGGACGATTATCTTGAACGGGTCCTGAGTCTCCGCTGCACGCTAACAGCACGTGCCCCCAGCTTTGTCTTAAGCCTCTGTGTAACCCTGTACACACTAACACGCGAGTATAGGAATACGTGTGCGCGCGTATGTCTATATGCATTCGCGTGTGTGTGTGTGTGTGTGCGTACACGCATAGGCTTCTGCGTGTACACGCCAGCTTTGAAAATAATCATCATCACCACCACCGCGAGGTCGGTTAAATCCATGACGTCACCATAATCAGCATAATCAGCATCAGTATCAGCAGCAGCAGCAGGAGCAGCCTAAGACGTGGCGACGTCACACAGCTCCAGACGTCACCACGCACTCAGCCGCGTCGCCGCTGCGCCTGGCTCGGCGGGGGTTCACAAATGGCCACGTCCAAGCCCTGGGTTCGTGACCGGGGTTCGGCCGCCCACGATTGATGCTCACACGCCGCGTTGGCAGGACGTCAATGACGCCGTGCTGTGCGGCTGCAAAGGGGCCGTTGCCTGAAACGTCGTCATAATTCCATACGTGTAATTACATTGACGAGTGTGTTGTGTAGAGAGCTGATATCGGCAGCAGGGCCATCAATGACTCACAGAGATCCATACGCTCGCATAGAGACCCATAGACTCACAGTGGGATCGATAGACTCACAGAGAGACCCACAGACACAAAAGATCCCCCGTATAGCCTTAACAGACTGTAGGGGCAAGTGCTGTTAGCGAGCACCTATGAAGGCCTGTAACGGTACACGAGGGGGTGGGTGGCCAGCACCACGCCCGACCGCCTTTGTCTCCCTAGTGGCAATGTTTACACACCGCACCAGGTGCTCATTTGAGGCTGAGTCACTGGTGTTGGCCGTGAGCAGGAATCGAACCCAGGTCGCCAGGTTCATAGCGCAGCGCGCTATGAACTACACTATCGCTCCCCACACACAGACCCACAGACACACACAAACACCCACAGACTCACAGAGACTGAGTGGTGATTAAACAGGGTTCTAAAGGGTTGTTAGTTAATGGTCTCAGCCCGGTCACCAATGAAACGCCCACGACTTTAAATTTGATCCGTAATCGAATTTAATGCATTTCGCCCCCCTCACTGACCACCGCTGTGGCGGGCATCCATAGAGCCCACGGTGTAGTGTATAGTGTAGTGTATAGTGTAGTGTATAGTAGTGTATTGTAGTGTAGTGTATAGGAATGGAGTGTATAGTGTAGTGTATAGTAGTGTAGTGTATAGTAGTGTATAGTAGTGTAGTGTATAGCAGTGTAGTGTATAGTAGTGTAGTGTATAGGAATGCAGTGTATAGTAGTGTAGTGTATAGGAATGCAGTGTATAGTAGTGTAGTGTATAGTGTAGTGTATAGTAGTGTAGTGTATAGTAGTGTAGTGTATATAGTAGTGTATAGTAGTGTAGTGTATAGGAATGGAGTGTATAGGAGTGGAGTGTATAGTAGTGGAGTGTATAGTAGTGGAGTGTATAGTGTAGTGTATAGTGCAGTGTATAGGAATGGAGTGTATAAAAGTGTAGTGTATAGTAGTGGAGTGTATAGTAGTGGAATGTATAGTAGTGTAGAACCCCTCTTAACGACTAATCGCTTAACGACGGGCCTCCAAAGAGCCCAATGTGTAGTGTATAGTGTAGTGTATAGTAGTGTAGTGCATAGTGTAGAACTCCTCTTAACCACCACCGATGTTAACGACTAATCGCTTAACGACGCGCCTCTATAGAGCCCAATGTGTAGTGTATAGTGTAGTGTATAGTAGTGTAGTGTATAATGTAGTGTATAGTAGTGTAGTGTATAGTGTAGTGCCCCTATACAGCCCAATGTATTCGCATACTGACCATGCCCCTGTTAACGACGGGCTGCTGTCGGTGCAGTAAATATTAATGAATGCATTGATAAACCATGTTTCTTTCAATATTATGTGCTTATAATGTTGTTCGTATCTATATGTATTCATATCCCTTATTTAAATGTTATAATGTAATTTTTTGGGGGGTGAAATAAGGGTAACTTTCGATGCTATTGGAACGAATTCAGTCTTTAACGTACATTTCTTATACTCGCTTAACGACCAAATCACTTAACGATCGGTTTTGTGGAACCAATTACCGTCGCTAAGAGGGGTTCTACTGCACTTTACAGGGACGGGGTGGGGCTGGCAGGGTGAAGAGGGCGAGGGGCAGGGGGAGAGGGGGGGGGCAGGGTGGGGAGGGGCAGGGGGAGAGGGGGGGGCGGGGTGGGGAGGGGCAGGGGGAGAGGGGGGCAGGGTGGGGAGGGCCAGGGGTAGAGGGAGAGGGGGGGCAGGGTGGGGAGGGGCAGGGGGAGAGGGGGGGCGAGGAGTATCGGGGGGGGGCAGGGTGAGGAGGGCGAGGGGTAGGTGGGCAGAGTGGGGTGGGCGAGAGGGGGGGCAGGGTGAGGAGGGCGAGGGGTAGGGGGAGAGGGGGGGCAGGGTGGGGAGGGCGAGAGGGGGGGCAGGGTGGGGAGGGTGAGGGGGAGTGGCAGGGAGAGAGGGGGTGTAGGGTGGGGAGGGCGAGGGGCAGGGGGAGAGGGGGGTCGGGAGGGCGAGGGGGAGGGGCAGGGGAAGAGGGGGGGTTGGGAGGGATAGGGGCAGGGGGAGGGGCAGGGAGAGGGAAGGGGCAGAGGAGGGAAGGGCGGGGGGAGGGGCGGGGGAGAGGGGGGGTGGGGAGGGCGAGGGGGAGGTGCGGGGGAGAGAGGGGGGGGTATTTCTCGTACCTTTAACTCCAGCGACTCCTAAAGGAGACGCAGAGAGACAGACACAGAGTCACAGTTCACTCAGGAAAGACTCACCGTGTCTCACGACTCTCTTTAAGGAGGGTCACAGATACTCAGAGATACAGAGACACTCACAGATACAGAGCCACAGAGGGGACAATAGAGATACACACAGACACATAGCGAGATAGACATAGAGAGAATCAGATACAGAGATACACAGATAGAGAGACAAAGGCAAATACACGCACGCATACATACAGATACACATAGACACACACACACACA